GAAATAAAAGCATGAAACAGTTTATTACAGTAGATATCAAGACCATATGAACCATAGCCTCTGCCAGTCTGAGGCCAGAAGAACCAGATGGTGCCCGGTTACCACTACCAACCACTCTGATAGGTATCACAATAGGTGGTCTTGGCAGAGTGGGAGAAAAATGTAGAACACAATTCAAAATCATGAAAAAGACCAGACTTACTGGTCTGATGGAGACTGGTGGAACTTCCAAGACTGTGGTCCTTCGACAACTTCAGGTCTGGAACTGAACTCACCATTGGGGATTACCTTTCAATGGACAGACCTATAAGCGAATAACAACCATGAGGAACGTACACCTCAGAAGAATTTATTTTCCAAAAGAGAGTTACTAGTTAGGTTAGATAATCTCTTAAAGGTTTAATGAGTAAAATTACCCACCATTTTCTCAGAGAGAGCTGATAAGGGTCAATATTTCTAAATATGGGATGACTGAAAGGGCTGGGCCCTAATACTTTCCTTCTTACTACATATGTCTGGTCATCCATCTTTGTCTTGTATCCAGCATTCTAATTTTCTTAGGATCTGATACTCGCTTCAGAGGACAGATTCTATTTGGTAACTTGGTTCCCAAAGAATTTGGTTCTGGGCTATCCATTAATTTGCTCAGCTAGTAATTATCATTGCATTGTTTCTGAACAGGCTTCCTTCCTTTCCCAGTATGACAGCCACATGTGGTACATAGTTGTACAGTGAATTACTTGGTATGGCTCTTCTAGCCACGGTCTTTGTGGCACCCACCAGATGACTGTGTAGAACTATGCAAATGTAAAGTGCTTGTGGTCCACCAGGGGACTGGATAACTTGCTAATAATGTAAATAAGGTACATGGCACCCTTGTGGGGGTGGACCATGAAAATAAGGTATATGGAACCCTAATATGGGTATAGGAGCTCTGGTAGCATAGTGGCTAAAGCACTTGACTGCTAACCAGAAGGCTGGCAGTTCAAATCCACCAGCCACTCCTTGGAAGGAAGGTTGGGCAATCCTACTTCCGTAGTGATACTGCCTCGGAAACCCAAGGAGGGGTCGCTATGAGTCGGGGCTGACTCGACGGCACATAACAACAACAACAACAATATGGGTATTGGTCAGTTTTGTCATTCTGCTAGGTTTAAAATAAGCCCTGCTAGAGGCAGAAAGAAGAATCTCACTACCATCAAGACAGAAGAGCCAAGAATGGAATGCCTCCTTGGACCTGAGATCCCTGGGCTGAGATGACAGCATAGACAGTGGCAGCAGAACCAAGAGACTGGCATGAGACAGAGCAGTGGGCTTGCTGGCCCATGGAGTGAGAAAGCAGAGTACTTTTGGCCAGGAGGCTTGCTGGTGGAGTACGGTGCACCTAGGTGCACCTATTGGCAGAGCTAAAAGAGTTTTGTAACCATTGCCTGAGCAGGGCAGAGGCTAAGCCAAGAAGACAAGGGACAAAGAGAGGCATGTCCAAGGGCATGGCTGAGGGGAGGCTGTCCTGATTGAAGAAGTGTGTGCTGAGAGTTTCTGAACTTAAATTGTAACCTGTTACTTCCCTAATAAACCCCATAATTGTGAATCTTGTCTGTGAGTTGTGTGTGGCCAGTGCAATGATTTATTGATTCCAGCGGAAAAGTAGTGAGTGCCACGTGAGGGATGGTTGGTGTCAGAATTTGTAAAAAGGCTGGAGGGTGGTGGCATGTCTAGCTTCATAGGAATAAGCCTTGGGCTGCTGATAGTGACTCTCTCGTGAAGTTAGAGGAGTCAGAGGATGCTGTTCCCATGCCCCTTTAGCAATAGCTTTGGCCAGAATTATTCATTCAACATATTTATTGCTTAACTACTATGTGCCAGGCCCTCGTCAAATGGTGACGATAAAGTGGAAGACAAGGTAGTCATAGTCCTGTCCTTCATGGAGCTTATAAAGAAATCAATCAAACTAGAAATTCATGGACACCTAATATATTCAGCTCCTCTTTGAGGATATTAATATGAGGACAGGGTTCTTGCCTTCTCCTTGCAGGCATTTATGGTACAGTATCAAGCACATTTTAATAAAGCATGAAATTACACTAAATTATGCAGTTCAGATGCCAATACCTTAGATAGGAAGGGAAGGCGCCTAAAGAGGGCTGGATAATTAGCAAGGCTTCCTGAAAGAGGGAATATCTTTAAAGATGGGTAATTTGAGATAGGACAAACCAAAACTCATGCCGTTGAGTTGATTCGACTCATAGCGACCCCTCCTTGGGTTTCCAAGGCGGTATCTGTGTGGAAGTAGATTAGATTGCCCGATCGTCCTTCTGAGGAATGGCTGGTGGGTTTGAACCGCCAGCCTTCTGGTTAGCAGTCAAATGCCTTAAGATGGAAAAAAGCAGCTCTTGTGGTGCAGTGGTCAAAGCATTTGGCTGCTAACCAAAAGTTTGGCAGTTCAAACACACTAGCCACTCCATGGGAGAAAGATGAAGCAATCTGCTTCCATGAAGATTTGCAGCCTTGGAAACCCTATAGGGCAGTTCTACTCTGCTGTAGGGTCGCTATGAATTGGAATCGACTTGATGGCAGTGGGTGGTGGGTTAGGATGAAAGAAGACATTCCAGGAGAGGAGCACCAACTCTTTGAGGAAGACCTGTACATGGAAGGGTTGGGTAAGAGTGGGGACAGAGAGCTGGGGAAAGTCATGAGAACCTGGCCTTCAGCCACCTGAAGGCAGTTGGAGTGACAGACTTCATGAAAACCACTCACAGTATTTATGAAAACAGCAGAGGGTGATCAACTAACAATGTTCCGTGCTCCCAGACCCTGCAGTCTGTCTGCTGTTTCCAATTAAGCTAGCTTGCCCTGGTCCCATTCTGATATTTGGGATGTTTAAGAGTTAGGCTTTTATGTTTGTGCCTGTAGCTGCTGGGGAGCTCTGGTGGCATAGTGCCTAAGGTATTTGACTGTTAGCCAGAAGGCTGGTGGTTCAAACCCACCAGCCACTCCTTGGAAGAAAAACTGGGTAGTCTGCTTCTCTAGAGATACTGCCCCAGAAACCCAGGGAGTAAGATTCCTATGACTCCATGGCAGTGAGTTTAGCTGTTGTGACCAACCTCATTACTTTCTTATATTCACCTATTCACCTACTTTATTATTTTTACTTTGTTATTGAAAATCCTGTGGCGCACAAAGGGTCAGTCCTTGATTAATGGCCTAAATAAAATCTAATCAAATGTAGCTCCTCTTCAGTATTTTAGCTAATCCTAACTTCTGTGTCAGTCTGGGATATGCTGATGATACAGCTTTGCTTGCTGAAAGTGAGGATGACTTGAAGCACTTACTGATGAGGATTGAAGAATACAGCCTGCAGTATGGATTATATCTCGATATAAAGAAAACAGAAATCCTCACAACTTCACCTATAAGCAGCATAATGATAAATGGAGAAAAGATTGAAGTTGTCAGAGTTCACATTGCTTGGTTCTACAATTGACGCCAATGGAAGCAGCAGTTAGGACATCAGATGACCTGTAGCACTGGGCAAGTCAGCTGGAAAAGACTTCTTTCGAGTGCTGAGGAGCAAAGATGTCTCCTTGAGGACTAGGATGCACCTGACACAAACCATGATATTTTTAATGGCCTCATATGCATGTGAGAGAGCTGGACAATGAATAAGGAAGCCAGAAGAATTACTGATGCTTTTGAGTTGTGGTGCTGGCAAAGAATGCTGAAAGTACCATGGGCTGCTAAAAGAACAAACAAATCTGCCCTTAAGTGCAGCCGGAATGCTCCTTGGAAGTGAGAATGGCCAGACTTCATCTCACATACTTTGGTCATATTGTCAGAAGGGACCATTCATTCCCTGGAGAAGGGTGTCATGCTTGGTAAAGTGGAGGGTCCCCGAAAGAGGGGATGGCCCTCAACGAGATAGATTAACACAGCCGTTACAGCCATGGACTCAAGTACAGCAAGGATCATGGAGCTGGTGTGGGACCTGGCAGTGTTTTGTTCTGCTGTGCATAGGGTCGCTATGAGCTGAAGACAACTCCACAGCACCTAACAACAACTACTTCTGTGTAAATACAATTTAATTTTAAACAGGCAGAACTTTTTCAACCATCTAAAATATGCAGTTTGTGAGAGTTCAGTGAAAATCCCCATCCCCAAACTGATTCTATGACTGTTATATAAGCCTACTATTGCATGTTGGGCGCCTACCAGGAACCCAACTTGGTAACTCCCTTCAAAGACCCCATTTTGGCGAGGGGGGGGCTGTTCATCATTCAGTTCCTGGTACGTTTCCACAGGTTCGCTGCGAGGAGTCAGTGCCAAGGAGTACAAAAGAGGGTGACACCACCCGAGGGCAGCCATTTCCATCATGAGAGCTACGGGGAACCGTTGCGGTATGGGAAATAGACGGAAACTGTCTGAGAAAGCCGCTTGGAAGGGGCCCTCCTTCATCTCTGAAATAGGGATCCGAGTCATTCCGACCGGCAGCTCTGTCACCACCTGACATAGCAAAAAGCCAAACACCAAACTCATTGCCATCAAGTGGATTCTGACTCATAGAGACCCCCTTTTGGTTTCCGAGGCAGTAAATCTTTCCGGAAATAGATGGCCTAGGCTTCCTTCCGCGGAGTGGCTTTGAACCACCAACATTCCTGTTAGCAGTCAAATGCCTTCTGCACTACACCACTAGAGCTCCTTCACGGCATAACAGGCGGACTTTATATGCTTGTAAGAAGAACGTGGGAATGAAGTTTTTCATCACTTTTTAAAACCCATACGAGGCCGCCTTCTCGCCACAAGCGCTATGGGAAAATAACAGGCGTTAAAGAAACTTTCCCAAGATAGCCATAGGCGGGTCCTCGCGCCTGTGCATTCAAACAAGCCCCCAGACCACGCCTTCCCCGGAACCGGAAGCTCCGCAACTGGCGCTGTTTACAGCATGGCTAGTTAAGGAGGCGGGGCCGCAGGAGAAACTGCAACTCCCAGCTTGCCGCGCGGGGTTTCCGGTTTCCGGCGAGAGGGCCAGAGTGAGTGTTTACACCGGCGGCTCTGCGGCCGGGTTCCTTCCGCGGGACGGGTGAGGGCGCTGGGCCCCGGGCTGCGGGGGGCCTCGACGTATGTCCTTTTGTTAGATGGTCCAACGGCAGCGGTGGGGTTGCCACAGAGAGTTAGAATCACTGTCCCACTACTAGCTATCTGTGCGACCTTGTATAAATGACTTCACCTGAATCTCGGTTCCCTCATCTCTAAAATGCGGGTGATAATGCTCCCTTAGGGAACAATTGTGAGGATTAAGTAATATATAGTAACTAAAAAGATCTGTTCCTTCCCCTGTGTTTATCCTCGAGGTGGATGGTACCCTTGAGGATGCTTTGGCATCTTCTGGGTAGCCTCACAGCTTTCTCGCTCGTTTTCTCCACCAGAGGCCTCTTTGAAAGCAGTAGTGGTGACAAAGTGCTCTCCTGGCTTACAAGGTTCTTCAACCTTCAGAGTTTCTGATTCATATTTTGGGCATCCATTATGTGTGAGCATTGGGACAATAGGCAGAAAATTGTAGCGTTTGCTCTTAAGGGTTTCCAGGAATATTGGGGGATACTGAAAAGTAACATGTTTGTAGGCCTTTGCATTGAGGGGGTTTGTGAGAACAATAGAAGAGGGAGTGCCTAGAAAAGGGAGAGGGGACAGAGGAGGTTATATTTAGGTTGGTCTTGGTAGAAGTTTGCTAAGAGACCAAAGGGAAAAGGTATAAAAAGAAGTGAGAGCTTTGTTATGAATGGAAGCTTAATGGAGTGTGCTTACATGTTGGGGATAGGGGACAGGACAGGGCTCTGTCTGGAGGAAAGGTTGGCAGAGGGGGCAGAATGTGAATGGTTTTGTAGGCCAACCTGTGGAGTTTAGAATTATTCATAGAGGTGGTTTGGAGCAGTTGGAGTTCTAACCAGAGGAGTGACTCAATGAGATCTGTGTTTTAAAATGATGACTAGGGTGGCAGCATGGATATTTGATAGAGAGGCAAGAGGTGGGGAACTTGTTGGTAAGCTGTTGTATAAGTTCAAGCAAGAGTTGACAGAAAAGTCTGAAATAAGGAAATGTACAGAAGAGGGAAGGTTGGATGATCTCATTTGAACCTCACAAGAGTCCTACTCGGTTGGATAGTGTTTTTAACGTCCACATTAAAGATGAAAAAATACTGAGGCCTAGAGAGCTGAAATACTTTGCTTTCCATCACAGATGAGTAAAGAGAGGACTCCAGACTCGAGTTCTGGCCTCCTGATGTTGCATCCAGTGTTTTTCTAAAAGTGTCACACTGATTATCTCTCATTCAGTCTCTTGAGGGGTATAATGGAGTAGGAGTGCATTCTGACCTTCAGCCTCTAAAGCTTTTTTTTTTTTTTACAGGGAGAAAGAGAGAGCGCGAAAGAGAGAGGATGTCTCTCTCAGACTGGCACCTGGCAGTGAAGCTGGCTGACCAACCACTTGCCCCAAAGTCCATTCTTCGGTTGCCAGAGACAGAGCTGGGAGAATATTCGCTGGGAGGCTATAGTATTTCGTTTCTGAAGCAACTCATTGCTGGAAAACTCCAGGAATCTGTTCCAGACCCTGAGCTGATTGGTGAGTTTCCATAAACTAGGGATGAACTATTACTCTGATCTTTTTGGGCAGGATACTTCTGGAATTACAAGAGGAAATAAAGAGCATGGAATTGGTTGCCTCATAATGTTAACACTTCATGGAAGTGAGTATTGGGCAGATCAAAACACAATCATGCAATGAAACTGTTGTTTGCCATTTTAATTACATATATTGAACTACCTTATACAAAGTTCTTAAACTGAGATATTGTTGACTTCTTTGAAGGTGCAAAAATTTGAGGTGGGCAGGGAAAGGGGTTAGTTGGGGGAGGCTGCCTAGTATATGGTATTTGAGGAAGGTCTTAAGAAATGATTAGAAGGATTTTTGTTTGGTTAGTTGGTTAGAGGAAAGACAGAAAAGGAAGCAGAAGGTGGCAAGGTTATTCATACCACTTGGAGGAAAGAGGTTTTTTTTTTTTTTTTTAATTGTGATTTGAGTGCAAGTTTACAGAGCAAATTCATTTTCCATACAACAATTCATACACATTTTGTTTCATGATGTTGATTGCAATCCTTATAATGTAACAGCTCTCTTCTCTCTTCTTCCCTGTGGTTACCTTTTCTTTGTGTCCTTTTTTCCTATGCATTCTTGCCCTCTGAGCTATCTCCCTGTGCAAATACTGACCTTCTGATCTCTCATGGTTGAGTGTTCTATGAAGTGTACATACCTGGTATAAATGTTCACCTTATATGCTTGTCTATTATTTGGCTGGAAGCCATGAGAGTGAGTTCAATTCCAGGCCTGAAGGGTGACTAAGGCCCATAGTCTTGGGGGTTTTACCAGTCTCTATCAGACCAGTAAACCTGGTCTTTATGATTTTGAGTTTTGTTCCACATTTTTCTCCCACTCTCAAAGATCTCCTATTTTGATCCCTTGCTAAGTGGCTGAAAGTGGTAGCTGGGCACCATCTAGTTCTGGTCTAAGGATCATGTTAGCCTGAGGTTCATATGATCTACTAGTCCCTTGAAGTAATTGTTTCTGTGTGTCTGGTTTTCTTCATTCATCTTTGCTCCAGATGAGGAAAGACCAATTGTTGCATCTTAGATGGCTGTTTGCAAGTTTATAAGACCCCAGTTGCTATTCACCAAAGTAGGATGTAGAATAAGGTTTTGTGTAGTGTGTTATATCCCTCATAGTTTTTTTTTTTTTTTTTTATTTGTTGTTGAGAACTGTTTGGGTTCTCTTGTGCTGCTATAACAGAAATACTACAAATTCATGGCTTAAAAAACAAGAATTTATTCTTTTATGGTTTAGGAGGCTAGAAGTCCAAATTCAGAGTGTTGGCTCTAGGGGCAGGGTGAAGGCCGCTCGACCTTGGGCTTCAGCTCTGCCTCTTATTCCAGGCCTACTGGAGCTGGAGGTGTCTCCTAACTCAGGTAGCTGCTGGCTGCTGAACCCTAAGTCAGCAGGTAAAATGGCAGAATCCCAAGATCGATAAGCCAGGACTCAGCCAAATACAGGATCCAGATGTGCCAAAAAGCTAGATACTTTTTCTCAAAGCTTTTCTATAATTACTGGAAGCAGGCCATACCTTGAAGGCAGCTAATTAGCTGCTCACAGCAGATATCACCGTGAAGTTGATTCCAGTCTCATCATGGGGAATAACTGCATCCAGTTGCCCAGCCAAAGTGAAACACAGTGTTAACTACCACAAGAATATACACAGCAAAACATTACCAATTCAACTGTCTTTACACGTACAACTTAGTGACATTGATTACATCCTTCGAATTGTGCAATCATTCTCATTCTCCTTTTAGGAGTTATTCCTTCCCCATTAATAGAAACTCATTGCCCTTTTGTTGGGGTTCCTATCCAATCTTTCTAGATGCTATTGTCACTTTGATCCCCTGTAGAGAGTTCTTAAAAGAGATGCTGAAGGCAGACAGTTTTTACTAATTAAGCGGAACTGTTGTTTGGTTTTAAGACTTCAGAGGATATTTTTGGTTCTAAGTTTTAAAGATTATTTCAAGGCAGTAGTTTCAGAGGTGTATCCAGCCCCCAAATGTTGTAATTTTTAATAGCTTAGGGATCCAATTGGCCAAATTTTTCCGTCATTCTGGTACTGGGTTCATCCTTTTTTGGTTGTTGAATTGTTTTCCATTTGTTAAAATTGAGCAGTTGTCACAATGTTAAGCTTTAGGACTTTCCTGTAGACAGATTCTGTATAACTCCACTTTGTAGGTTTGTTCTTACAAACAGTTATTAAAATAGATTTCTTAAGTAAGAGTACCTTTTACTCTGCCATCTATCCAGTCAAGATAAAGTTCTTCGAGGATAGAAACCAACTTTCTAAATTGTTTTGAGGAGCAGAATATAAACAGACTGTTCCTTTTTCAGATCTGATCTACTGTGGCCGGAAGCTTAAAGATGACCAAACCCTTGACTTCTATGGCATTCAACCTGGGTCCACAGTCCATGTTCTGCGCAAGTCCTGGCCCGAGCCTGATCAGAAACCAGGTGAGTGAGGGGCTGGCTCTTTAACAGTCAGAGTTTCTCTAATATCCGTAAGGGAAGGGTCTAGTGTTCTCAAGGCATGAGCTTGGGTGGAGCAAAGGGATGATTTACTGAAATGGTTACGAAAGATATTGTTGCATATTGGTAAACAAAGGCCAGTTTTGAACTTCTTACTGCCAGCACCACATCTCTACTTTGTAAGTTCATTACCCACTGTTTTCTAATGAGATGGGAAGTGTGTGTCTAATTTAAAACTCTTTTAGGTTAAAAGCTTATTTCTCAGTGAACTTTGTATCCTGTTGTTCTTATTAGAAAGAAGTTGGAAGCTTCCTGCACTCATCTAGTGCTGTAGTTTGTTCTCTTCTTACAACCACCTCAGGTAGTGGTTTGCTTAGTGAGCTAACTCCTGCTGTACTGGTAATTTATTTTCCTGAAGCTTAAAAATACTCAAATAGCATTAAAGTAGCTCTTGCAAAAATTATCCAAAACCTATAATGCCTTTTTGATTTATTAATAAAAGGTACAGTGTGTAATTCATAATTTAAAATTTGTGTTTTAAATTACCTCACCAAGAATAAAGCTGAGCTGTATAAAAGAGATTAGTTTTGTTAAACTGGCGTTTTGACCTAGTTTTAAATGTTCATGATTACTGTGATTAGTTATCAGTTTGAAATTTAGTCTGTTTTTTGATCCTAAACATAAAGGATAAAAACATCTTTTGCATACTGATGGGAAGTGAGAAAGAAAACAGCCCCTGATGTCTGGGGGCTGACCTGGTACTTATCAGCTAGGTCTTGGTGTTCTCAAGTTGAATATAAATGGTATCATAGATCATCAGCATCAGACCAGGCCACTTACTCTGAGCCTGTGGTGGATCAAGACTAAAACAAGATTCCTCTCATGTTTGAACTCATACATAAACATTGTTCAAATCACGAAAATGACCAGATACCACTCTATCCTGGCTAATATGAGCAACTGCTGCTTCTTGAACAGTTACAGCTTTAGCTTTGCTTTATTTAGTTTTCCATCCTTCTGAAATAGCCAGTCATAAAGTCAACCCTACTTCCTGATGGCATCCAATCCAGAGCAAAATCCCTCTTCCTTAAACTTCTCCCAAAATCACCCAACCAAATCCTGTAATAAGTCCTTTCACTACCTTCTTGAGAAGCCCTGTGGCTCCCCATGGTGTGCATTCTGTTTGTCTATAAAGAGCATAAACCCAACCTGTTCAACTGTAGGTATGCCCCTGGTGGTCTTTGGCTCAAGGGCATTCATAGAAGGGAGGTAACATTTGTTGCTTCTAAGAGCTAGGTTTTTTTTCCTTTGGTATCTCATTTAATCGTTCATTATAGTGGTTCTGCAGAGTAGGTAATAGTATTAACATTTTATAGATAAAGAAAAAGAATTGGAAAAGTATTTATTTCTTTAGGGTCACCTACTTAGAAAATGAATACCAAAGACTGGGATGTGAACCCAGGCCATCCTGCCTCAAGAGTGTGTGTCCTTCTACTGGGCTGGCTTCCTCCCACTTCTAAAGGGTGAAATTAGCTCAGAGATATTACTGAGACAATCATTACTCTTAGCTGATTATCAGCTTAAGATATTAAGCATCCCTCCCCTCCTCTACTTTTGGCTAGAGATTTATTCTTGATATACATGAACTTTTTATTGGAAGATGAAAATGAACCTTTAGATCTGAAAATAAACTGTTTTTGTAAATGTATTTTAGCTATTTTATCCCTGAGCACTTCTCTTCTAAGCAAGTATATTTCCTGGTCCTCCACTGGATTAGAGCCTCCAGGAGGAGGTCTTGTCAGTCCCACCTGCATTCCTTTGGTAGTTCTCCACGGCCATTTACCAATCCCTTCAGGATCTCAACTTAGCCTGCTGTTGAGCAGTGATATGTACCCTGAGCTCCAGCCACATAAAAAGACTGCTCCTTAAAAGCATCACATTCTTTTATTCATCCCTGTGTTTGCACGTGTTCTCACTTAGCTTGGAATGCCTTTTCCTCCCCGGGAACATCTGCTTTGCCTTTTCCTCCCAGGGAGTATCTGCTTTACCTTAAAGACTTACACAAACAGTCTCTTCTGGGAGGCAGCATGGTGTCTTACCTTCTCCTCAGTGATGGTTCATGTTGCCTCTGTGTTCTTAATAACCTAGAATCCACATCTTTGCTGTGGCCCTCAGCATGGTATTTTGTAGTATGTGTTCTGATCTCTTTTTCTCCTGCTGTCTTACTAGTTCCTTGATGGCAGACTTTTTTATTCTTTGCATTTCTTCCCCCTGCGTAAAGCTAGACAAGCAGTAAATTTCCGGTACATGCTCGTAGAATGAATCCATTAGATAATTTACTTCAGTTGAATATTTTTCAGGAGACAACCTTCATGATTAGGACTAAAGATAAGAATGAGCAAGTAACTGCAAGGGTGCCAGTGACCTGTTCTGGGAGTGGTGCCCCCTGGTTTGGGCAGTACATAGTCTCTACAGTCATAAGTGGTGGTCCTGGGTAAGAATAACCACTTTTTAAAAAGTATGACCCAGGGAGAACTTCCCACTTCCCTTTCCCCTGTTACCCAAATGTCTTTACCTTTGAAATTGGCTGATGTCCTAAAATAGTTTTGTAACCAAGTAAAATTAAGGCAACTGCTAAACTTCACCACATATATGAATAATAGTTATCCAGAAATCAGAAAGACAATTTAAGGTCCCAAAAAAACATATGCTGTGAACTATAGGGAACTCTAGTGGCATAGTGCCTAAGGCATTTGACTGCTAACCTTCTGGTTAGATCTGAAGCCAGGTTCAAACCCACCAGCCACTTGGAAGGAAGGTTGGGCAATCTACTTCCGTAGTGATACTGCCTCGGAAACCCAAGGAAGGGTTGCTATGAGTCGGATTCGACTCAACAGCAGTGGGTTGGTGGGTATGAACTATAGGGTGAAAGTTTGTTAAGAGCCTTAGAAGTACAGTGTTTTTTTTTTTTTTTTTTTGGTCCTTCTTGTATTTTAAGTTTAGGACAGTTTTACAGAAGTGTGAAAGAAAATATCAGAGAGGAAACAGTTACCCAGGATCCTGTCACCCTTCTTAAGTGCTGATCTTCTTATCCCCTTCCAGTCACAACCATATGGACACTGACACATTTTACATAGTTTCAGCAGAATACACATACAACTTTGTTCTTTTTCTTTCTCTTAACATATTGTGTCAACATAACTCCATAGGGTTAAGATGGTCTGTAGCACTTATTTTAAATCACTGCATATGAGTCTACTGAGTTGAATATACACCATCCTCCTGTTCAAATGTAAGAAGTCTAGAATTCCTGCATTGGGATATTGACCAAAGCATTTTGTTTCATGTGGTAACATTCTTCCCCTCTGCTGGAACTTGAATTGAGTTGCCTGTTTTGTCTAAAGAAGTCTTGAAAAAGAGAGCATTGTTCGTATCTGTGGCATAAATGGGCTTTTCTGAACAACACTCACATGGTCAGTGGGGTGATGTGGAATGGGAACCCCTAGACTAGGCTACGCTTGAGTACATGCGAAAGTGATGTCACATGGGTTGGTGGCAGGGCCAGGGCCTGGGCTGTAGGGTGACTGTGAGTGTCTTATCCTTAGAACCTGTGGATAAAGTAGCTGCCATGAGGGAGTTCCGGGTGCTGCACACTGCCCTGCACAGCAGCTCTTCCTACAGAGAGGCGGTGAGTGTGTATCACGGCCCCCAGCCCCAGACTCCTGCCAAGGACTGCAGGAGAGGGTGTAAACACTGGGAGTGGTATAGAGTGGGATCTGGAAGCCCATTGCCATGGCAACCAAGAGTTCCTTGGGGAGTTTTTGCCATGTCTGTGGGCCTCAGAAGAGCCCTATCTTCTCGAAGACTCTCAGCCAGACGTTGTTGATTCCCTCTGATGCTAATGATACAGCCTCTCCTGATACTGACCTCACGGAATCAATGTGGTTGTAGCCAAAGGATCCAGATACAACTGTTTTTGTGTGCATCATTGTTTGACTCTGGCCAAATTGCCTGCCATCTCCCCATACCTGGATTTCTTCTCTGGGGAAATGAGCTGATACCTTTTTATGAGAGAGGTAGCAAGCAAAAGTTACACAGCTGTGAAATTCCTAGTCTATTTAAACGTGAAATGATAATGGTATAGAGATCGAAAAGGACTTTTGGGGCCTAGCAAAACCTTTGTTGTTGGGCTTGTAATGAAAGCTTTTATTTTGGAAGCGTTAGAACTGTAGCTAGAGGAAAAGATCAGAGATTAAAGGTTTACTGTGGGCTTGCTTTTTTTTTTTTTTTTTTTAAATTATTTATTTTCCTTCCAGTAAACTACAGTTTCAGAATAAAAAGATGTTCATGTGTTACCTGCAGCTGTTGTTCCATTGTGGTGGCCTATGTGCCAGCACTTGGAGGGAGGAAGCACTTGAGCAAAGTGTGGATATTTGTGAAGTGGATCGTGCTGGTTGGGATGCTTAGCCCCCGACTCCATTTCTCTTGCAGGTCTTTAAGATGCTGAGCAATAAGGAATCTTTGGATCAAATCATTGTGGCCACCCCAGGCCTCAGCAGTGACCCCATTGCACTCGGTAAGTGCAAAAATCAACTTAAGGAAGGTAGGAGTTGTTTGGCAAAGGAAAAACCAGGAAAAGGCAATTATCCTAAAGAGACTTTGACCATATTTTAAAGAATCACTGGTCTTATGAGGCAGAGGAGTAACCAAAATGTATTAGATACACCCAGCCTTCTAAGAGCTCATTCTCATGGAGAAATCATAGCCTAAATCATACATGAGGACAACAGCCAAAACCACAGCTGTCAGGGAAGACTTGCTGCAAGCCTTCATAGATTAGGGTAGCACCCAGATATAGGGAGAAGAAGTGGCTGAGGTGTAGTTGGTACCCAGGGTGCGTCTTAAGTGCAGGAAGGACATGGTAAGTAGAGAACATCACTACTAGAACAAGATGTGGTAATAAGATGGCAAGTGCTTGCGTTGTGCTGCTTGGTAGTTTGTTTCCTCCTGCCTCACATGAGTGCTGGGTTGTGCTCCTATGTCCTGTATCCTGTATCCTGGATCCATTATAAATTCATTCTCTGAGGTGAGCCACATTCTTTTTCAGGGGTTCTTCAAGACAAGGACCTCTTCTCTGTCTTTGCTGATCCCAACATGCTTGATACGTAAGTGTAACCATCTTATTAAGAGGTAGCTTATATTTCTTCATAAAGTTGGGCTAGGAGCCTAAGTGCTTCTGACCCCAGAATCCTAAAACCTAAAAGGAATGGATTCTGCTCTTGGAAACCATTCCCAGTCTGTCACCAGGTCTACCTTCTAAATAGGTTGGTATGGAGGTGAAAAAGAGCAAGGGCTACTTGTGGGACGATAAAGCCCAAGGTCAGGGAGCATGTGGAGACTGTTGGGCTAAAGCAGGAATCGGAAGGTGAGGGCTTTGCATGCCAGGCTTAGTTTAGATTTCATTCAATAGATATTAGGGAGCCTTTGAAGGATTTTAAGCTGGTGGAAAAGAGAAACAGATGCATAGATTTATAAAATTTTAGTGCTAAAAGGGACAGTAGATGCTATGTCCCTTTTTTTTTTTTTTTTGGCAAATGAGGAAGCTGAACCCTTCCCTGAAAAGGGAGGGGGCCTGTCACAGGTTGCCCAGTAAAGAATCAGACTAGAGACTGAACCTGAGCTTCCCAGGCCATACATGTCCCATCATGCCATGCTGCCTCTTACCTCATCTGAGGGGAAGGCCGTGGTAGGGAAGAATCTGAAGTGGATCCCAGGAACTGGAGGCACTGCTGCTGTTGCTAAGGGAAAGCAATAGAAGGACAAAGCCTCCTGGAGGAAGGTGCTGAAGACTAAGAAATTTACGGGCTGGCCCAGGAGACTTGACTGTTGTGAAAGCCACCCAGAAGTCCTGTCCCTCGCCATGGCCGAGAGTATTCCCTTCTTCTCAGTCACCCTTGGGTTTTTTCCTGCCAGGTTGGTGCCTGCCCATCCAGCCCTGGTCAATGCTATTGTGCTGGTTCTGCACTCGGTGGCGGGCAGCACCCCATTGCCGGGGGCTGACTCCTCTTCCCGGAGCATGCCCTCCAGCTCGTACCGAGACATGCCAGGTGAGCCCCAAGAGAGTGTAAGCTGGGCCCCTTCGGGAGCAGACAGCACCCGGGGGTGAGCTTTACTCGGCAGCTATGTATAGCTCTGGCAGAGGGCGTTCCTCGGGAGCTCTTGGTTTGAGTCAGGAAGTGCATCTGTCCTGTAATTTTCCAAAGCGAGAGATGAGGATATGAATTTGGAGAGTAACTTGAGCTGAGATTTTGGAGCTGTGCCTGTGCCTTTCTGTTGTTCTTCCTGAAATCTGTTCTCCCTCCCTCAGGTGGCTTCCTGTTTGAAGGGCTCTCAGATGATGAGGATGACTTTCACCCAGTAAGTAGTCTGGCTGCCTCCTTTTTTGAGGGAGATGGTGTCTGGGATGCACTTCTGGCTGGGACCTGGATTCTTTTCTGAACCTGAAAGCTTAGGGAGCTTCCCTAAGAACTATTCCTGGAATGGAAGGTGGGATTTATTGGGGAATTTCACAGTGTTGCTTCCCTGATTCCCGGTGCCTTCTTTCTCCAGAGCACCAGGTCTACGCCCTCTGGCAGCACACCCAGCTCCCGCCCAGCATCCCTGGGATACAGTGGAGCTGCTGGGCCCCGGCCCATCACCCAAAGTGAGCTGGCCACCGCCCTGGCCCTGGCCAGCACTCCGGAGAGCAGCTCTCACACACCGACTCCTGGCACCCAGGTATGGAGAGAGGGCTGGGACTATCTCTTGCAGGCCCCCAAGGGAGAGGTTCCTGCTAGTAGTTTGTCTTTGATGACTCTGGTGTTAGGTCTGGTTTGCAGTGAACTCTGCCTGGACCCTGAGTGGAAATTTCTTATTGTACCTCCGGTGAGGTTTCTCTCACGCTTGCTTTTAGGTTTGAGAAGTCTGGTTTTCAGCACAGTCCTGATTGATTCCTTCTGGTGGTTGAGAAGACTCTCCCCTTACATAATGTGCCCTTCCACATAGGGGCCAGACATCACCTGCTTCAGCATTCCTGGTACCGGGTCCATCCCAACTTCTGAGCCAGCTCTCCCAAAGTTAGGGTATCAAACTGGGTCAGGGGCTTGGATTCCAATTCCTCAGAGCAGAAGAGAATGGAACCTGTCCTGCCCACACGCACAGCTTTTAGGGACCATTATGTGGCTGTTGCACGGGCAAGCCCGTGTTGGGAGGCAGTAGTGAGGTACCTCAGGGGCACCACAGGGTGTGTGTCAGCAGTGGGATCTGCTGTGAGATTGAGGTGTATTGGAGGGTGGCACTGACCACACTGATTTGTCTCTAGGGCCATTCCTCAGGGACTTCACCAATGTCCTCTGGCGTCCAGTCAGGGACACCCATCACCAATGATCTCTTCAGCCAAGCCTTGCAACATGCTCTGCAGGCCTCTGGGCAGCCCAGCCTCCAGGTCAGTCTTCCCCACTTTTTCCCTGTTTTCCATGGGCCTTCCTAGGTACATTGGATTCCAAGCATTTTTCTGCTCTCTGGAGGTTCCTTCCCTTGTGGTGTATTTCTCTCTAGGTATAGCAGGGGTGTGACAATGTGACAGGTGAGGAATGCTCTGAGCAAGGGTTGTTGTCCCTTTGGCCTCCACTCTTATATCCAGTAACCACAGCCTGACACCATTAACTGCCTGGCTTAGAAAGCCATGAGAGTTTTAGTCAAAGAGCCATTCATTTATTCAGTGAGTGTTGACTGAGCATGTTTATACCAGACCTGGGTCCAGACACTGGGGCTAGTTGAGAAAATTGTTCCTGGCCATGCAGAGTCACAGGGAGTTACTGAACTGAGTGAGCAGCAAGGAGAGAAACCCAGCCAGGCTGAAGATGAGGGCCTAGGTCAGCAAAACTTTTCTGAGGAAGGGATGTCTCAGCTGATTGCCAAGGAATTAGTTAGATAAACTGGATGACTGGGACCTCCTAAAAATTAAACAGTTAATGTACATCAAAAGAATCCTCCAAATGAGTAAAAAGAGAACCTAGGAAAAATTTTTTGGCAATGACATATCTGACAAGGGACAAATTTGTAAAACTTACGGAAGACTTCAACACCTCCACAATAAAAAGACAAACAATCCAATTAAAAATGGGTAAAGGATGTGAATAGACACTTCACCAAAGAAGACATTCAGGTTGCCAACAAATACTTCAAGAGATGCTTGAGATCATTAGTCATTAGACAGGTGCAAATCAAAACAATAATGAGATACCATCTCACCCCAGCTATAATAGCAATGATCAAAAACAGAAAGTAACAGATGCTGGCAAGATTTTGGGGAGGTTGGAACTCTCATACACTGCTAGTAGGATTATAAAATGGTACAACCACTGTGGAGAACAGTATGATGCTTCCTTAAAAAGTTAGAAATAAAGATACCGTATGACCCAGCAATCCCATTACTAGGTATATATCCTAGAGAAATAAAAATTGTGACACGTACCCATGTTCATTGTAGCATCATTCACAATAGCAAAAAGGTGGAAACAACCTAAGTGCCCATGAGTGGATGAATGGATAAGCAAACTATGTACATATAACAAAATAGTACACGATATTAAAGAATAACGATGATTCTGTGAAACATTTCACAGAACCTAGAGGACGTTATGCCGAGTGAAGTAAGTCAATCGCTAAAGGACAGTAAGACCTTTAGTGATTACAACTATTATACCAAAAAAAAAAAAAAGGTGAGACCCCTATTATGCAAAGTTAAGAAAAGGTTTACTCACAGAAAGAAATACTCTTTGATGGTTACCAGGGTTGGGAGAGGGAGGGAGGGAAAACCACTAACTAGATAGTAAACATATATTAACTTGTTTGAAGGAAAAGTCAATTCACAATAAGGGGGAGGTACATGACAGTGGAACACAATAGTGTTAAATGCCATTACATACACAGTTGTACAGTAACAGTAATAATTTATGAGTGGATACATAGGTGAATATATATAAGTCGAGCAGGTGTGGGGATGGCATATGGGAGTACACTCACACCATATGTAGGTTTGGCATATGTATTTGTATGTGCTGCAAATATGTCCTGATACGGTGGCTGCGATGATGGGATCAAGTATAGCAGGGATTGTGGGGCTGGCGCAGGATCAGGCAGTGTTTCGTTCTGCTGTGCATGGGGTCGCTATGAGTCGGAAACGACTCGACGGCACTTAACAACAACATAGAGGAAAGCATACAAGGAGTGAAGTTATGAAAACTTCATAGCTATAACCATACACTTTGAATAGGGACTGAGTCATTGGGCTTGAGGGCTTAAGACCATAGTCTTGGGAGATCAGTTGGCATCATAGTCCACAAAGATGGTGTTTTACATCCTGCTTGAGTGAGTACCAACTGAGGTCTTAAAAGCTTCCAAGTGGTCATCTAAGATACAGCTAACTATTAGTGCCTTCCCATCTGAAGCAAAGAAGAGTGAAGAAAATTAAAAACTCAAGGAAATAATTAGTCCAAAGGACTAATGGACCACAGCATCCATTAGCCTGAGATCAAGAACTATATGGTGCCTGGCTCCCCCTACCAACCACTCTGACTGGGATCACAATAGAAGGTCCTTGACAGAATGGAAGAAGAATGTAGAACAAAATCATAAAAAACACCAGACTTACTGGTCTGATAGGAACCCCCCAAGACTATGGCCCTTCGACACTCTTCAAATCTGGAATGGAACTCACTACCAGAGAGCATCTTTCAGCCAAACAGTAGTACTAGAAAGTGAACAGTAACACCCAAGAGGAATGTGCTTCTCAGAACAATCAACCATATGAGACCAAAAGGGCAGCATTTGTCCAAAAACAAAGTTTAAAAGGCAGGAGAGGGCTGGAAAGCTGGGTGAATGGAAACAGGGAACACAGGGAGGAGGTGGGAAGAGTGCTGTTACATTGAGGGGATTGCAACTAATGTCATGAAACAAGGTGTTTAAATTGTTGAATGGGAAATTAATTGTGGTCTCATAGCACATTAATCCAAACCACAGTAAAACATTAAAAAAAAAAAATTAGAGGTTAAACAAGTAGGTAATGGGTGTTGGAAGGATGGTGTCTAGGCAGAGGCAACTACCTGTTTGAGGAAATGTATGGAGGTGTGTGTGACATACTCAAAACTATAGGCCTATGACAAGGGACAAGATTGTAGTCACTTGTTGGCCATAACCAGCTATCCAGAGGGAGCAGATAGTTGGACTTGTGGGCTTGGACCATAGTCACAGGGGACATCAAGCTCAATTGAAATAACATATTGTTGTTAGGTGCCGTTGAGTCATCTCCAACTCATAGTGATCCTGTGCACACAAAAACATTGTTCCACATCCTACTTTGTAGCAACTGGGATCTTAAAAGCTTGCAAGCAGTCATCTAGATACAACGATGGGTCTCTCCTTGTCCAAAGCAAAGAAGAATGAAGGAAACTAAAGATGCATGGAAACAATTAATCCAAGCAACTGGTATACCATGCGATCCTCAGCCTGTACAACTATGAGACCAGAAGAACTAGATGGTGCCCAGCTACCACTGTCAACCACTCGGAGGGGGATCTATGTAGGAGGATCCTGATCAGAGAGGGAGAACGATGTAGAACAAAACTCAAAATTAAAAAGTGGGGGGGATCAGGTTTGCTGGTCTGATAGAGCCTGATGGAACCACTGAAACTATGGCCCCTAGCTGCCCTTCAGGTCTGGAATTGAACCCAGTCCCATGGCTTCCAGCCAAACAAAAGGTGGGCATATGAGCTGAACATTTACATTAGGTAGATACACTCCTTGGAGAGATCAATCATGGGAGAATAGAAGGGCTGTGTATGCACAGGGAGACCGCTCAGCAGGGCAGGAGTGCAGGGGAGGGAAGGACACAAGGAAGAGGTAACTATGGGGATGAAGTGGGAGGGGAGCAGTTGCATTATGGGAAATTATAGTCAATGTCATGAAACAAAGTGTATGTGAGCTGCTATATGGAAAGTGAATTTGCTCTGTAACCATTCACCCAAATCACAATTAAAAAAAAAAAAAACCAAAAACTATAGGCCTAGTGTAGAAGGGAAAAAACAAACTCATTGCCATCAAGTCGATTGTGACTCGTAGCAATTCCCATTGGGTTTCTGAGGCCATCTTCCTTCCATGGAGCAGCTCGTGGGTTTGGTGAGCAGCCAAGTGCCTTATCCACTTGTCACCAGTGACATAGTGGCTGCACCAGTGGGCTCAGGTATAGCAAGTATTGTGAGGCTGGTGCAGGACTGGCCAGTGTTTAGTTCTGTTGTACATAGAACCATTGTGAGTTGAAGCTGACTTGATGGCACCTAACAACAGCAACAACAACAGTGTAGAAGATCCTGAGATGAAGCCAGAGAAACGGAGAGCAGGAGCCTGAGAGTGAGGGGCCTTGAATACCAAGCTGAGAGATCAGACTCAATCTAACCATTCTGGGGAGCAATTCTGGGAGACCATTTACTCTGCTTCCTAGAAAACCCCTTTGCAGCTAAGTGGAAGGAATACGTAAGGGGGGAGCAGGTGTTACTGCACACCACTGTACAGTTGGTTGCTTCATATCAGTTTCCATTTTTCCTCACAATAAGCCTCTGATGTAAGTGACATTCCTATAATTTGTCTAGGGTCACAAGGCCATCAAATAGTAGAGATGATTAAAATCCGTGTTGTTTCTACTACGCCGCAAGGTCCTCGTGGACAGTAAGAGGAACAGGAACACGGCGTGCAGGCAACTAGTTTTGTTTCTTCATCTTCCTGACCTGGACACCTGCTCATTTTACTCTCTAGCTCAGGAGCTCCATTTGTCCTGTAAAATGAATCTGAGTTGATTTGTGTGGTTTTTTTTAAGCCATCCTACCCTTGCCAACCTCTCTGAATTTACATTTCATCCCCCCTGCTTTCTCCTTTCCATGTATGAACACGTTGTTTTTTCAGCTAGGCACTGCCCTCCTGCCGTGAAATGTCAGTGAAGCCAAGAAAGTACTGGGGGGGTTTTCCTTATATCTTTGAAGTAGAGAGAGGCTTTTTATAGCTGAACTGCAAAACCCCAGAAACCATTAAATAAAAGAGTAGTACTTTTTTTGGTGACTTAAAACAACACGAATTTATTCTCTTACAGTTCCAGAAGTCAGAAGTCCAAGAGTAATAAATTCTGAGTTCTCAAAACTGGAAGTTTCTGCCTGGAAAACCAAACCAAAGAATAAGCAAAGTCTAAAGGCTAACAAGAAACTGGGAAAAAGTCTGTAACACATAGTTGAAAAGGACGAATCTCACTGACTTGAGGTCCTAGAAATTTAGAAACAGTAGCCCCATAGGAAAATGTAAAGAGTGTTAACAGACAATTCACTGTAAAGGAAATACAGAGGGCCTTAAACCTGTGAAATTCTTAGCAGCCCCATTTCTAGGTATTTATCCTAGAGATGTATGTGTTTGTGGAAATGACATGTATGGTTAGTCATTGCACCATTGTTTATAACACAAGATGGGAACTAGACCAATTATGGTACATTTCAGGACATCCACAAGGTGGAATATTACACAGTTATTAAAAACTTATTTATGTACTGGCATGAAAAGATCTCTAAGATAGATTGGTTATGTTAAAAGGAGGTGGGGGAAAGGTATAGGATAGAAGTATAAGAAATGGATAAGTAATGTTGTTTTTAGGTGCCCTTGAGTCAGTTCTGACTCATAGGGACCTGTGTACAACAGAATGAAACACTACCTGGCCCTGCGCCATCCTCACAATTGTTGCCATGCTTGAACCTATTGTTGCAGTGACTGTGTCAATCTATCTCGTTGAGGGTCTTACTTTTTTTCATTGACCATTTATTTACTTTACCTAAGTGTGATATCTCCCCGAAGAAACAAGAGGCTTGGGAGTTCTCCTCCCTGCCCCTCCCCTTCATTCTCCTCCAAATCTATTTCTGAGACCCCATCTTCAGGATAGGAGTAGATGAGAGTAAGATTTTTACTACACTCATGTTCAAAAATGAAATAATTGGAAAATGTATTTACCTCCATTTATAGATATAAGTGTGTGTATATGCATAGTTAGCCATTGTATATGTATTTGTGTGTATATAGATGTAGTGTTTATATATCAGAAGGAAAACATGTTACCTAATCTCTTGGAATGTAGACATTAAGTAATTTGTGCTTTCTCTTTTGATCTTTATCCTAAAATTTCCCGTTTTTTATTTCAAAACTTTTAATTTGTTCTCTAAACTCTCAAGCCCGTCTTTTAGCCTTCCTTGAAGCCCCATGTTCTATGGAATTTACATCAGAAACATTGCTATAGATACCCACTTTCCTTAATTTCTCCTGGAAGGATAGGTATAAGTAAGTTGATTTTAGAATCTCTACTAATAGCTTCTGCCTGTTCCTGTCTTTCCACAGAGCCAGTGGCAGCCCCAGCTGCAACAGCTACGTGACATGGGCATCCAGGATGATGAGCTGAGCCTGCGGGCCTTGCAGGCCACTGGGGGGGACATCCAGGCAGCCCTGGAGCTCATCTTTGCTGGAGGAGCCCCCTGAACTCCCAGCCCTGAGCAGGCTGCAAAGGCTGCTGCCCATGGGAGGCACTCATGAAGGTGCCACCATCTCTCCTCTCCCCAATACACCTACCTGATAGTTAATCCTCTCTACTTTGTCTAGTGTGTGCCCTTTCTGGCTGGTTTGAGCCGGTGGAGTCAGCAGGGGGGTGGGTCTTTGGTGCTGTGGTATCAGGTCACTTGCTGGCCCCTGGTTCTGGGCCTTGGATGGAGAATTTTGTTTTAATTTAATTTATTTTTAAATTTTTATTATGATTTGGGTGAAAGTTTACAGAGCAAATTCATTTTCCATACACCATTTATACACATTTTGTCTCATGACAATGACTGCAGTTCCCCACAATATAACAGCTCTCTTCGTATTTCCTCTGGTAGTTACCTCTTCCCTGTGTCCTTCCCTCTCAGGCATTCCCGCCCCCGAGCTGTCTCCCTGTTCTCCAGTGATTGATTGATCCAAGTAGTGTATCTACCTGATAAAAATGTTCACCATAGATGGAGAATTTTAGACAGAAGTCATGGGCTTCAGCTATTTGATGTCCACATTCACTTTCAAGAAAAGTTTCTAGCTGTAGCCCTGGGACCTTTTGACCCTTTGGGGTATGGCATACTCAGGGTGTGCCCAAGGCTAGAACAGGGCTACTTTCCAATATATGGGGTAGCTGCTATTATGACAGCAGAGGCATGTGCTTCTGAGATGTCCACAGTCGGGGAAAAGAGGCTGGGTGAGCCGGTAAAGGCAGCTTGGGCTCCACATCACACTCTCTCCCAAAGGCTTCCAAAAGATTCCTTGTCCCACCCTTTGACATCTGTTCTGTAATGATGCTAGAATCCAGGCCTCAGAGCCATGCCATGAGGCTGAGCCCTCTTCTCTGGCCTGAAGGCATAAATATGAGAGCAGTTAAATAACAATACTAAACACCACCACCAACAGGAGCAGAGCTCAGCTTTAATATTGAAGAGAGGGCACCAACTCCCAAGCTGCTGCTCCATCTGCCCATGCTCTCATTCCCCCTGGCACAGGGTTCCCTGCAGCACCACAGACATGTCCAAGTCGAGCAAGTGGGTTTTGCATTCTCTGAATACTTTATTAAGAAAAAACCCCTCCCCTTCAGATGGTGTTTGAGTTCATTTGGGAACTAACGCGAGGGGTAGGGGAGGAACTCAGAGGTCTGCTTCAGCCCTGTGCCTTTGGCAAACGTTCCAGTCAAGTATCCACAGTCGTGGCTATTCAGCTTCTGGTTGTCACCTCCTAGGACAAAACGTTTACCACTTATAAGGACAGCTTGCAGCTCTTCCCCTGAGTGTTTACCCCTCAGTTCCCTTTCTGCTCTGAGGGGCCACATAGAGCATACCTACTCCTCTTCTGTAGTTACTTGAAGGGAGTGGTGACTTGCCTGTGCCTTTGGCCTGTCTTCCTCCTTCTGGTCCCCAGCACATCCTGTTATTTTCTCTGAATGACCTCCAGTTTATCAGTGATACTGATAGTGAGGTACTTAGAAGGACCTACTATTCCAGATCTGGGCTCAATAACACATTTTTCTTTCCCTCCAGAAAATTTGGTAAGACTCTCCTCCGCATTTCCCTCTCAAGCCTAGGATTAACATTCAGAGGACTTTATGCTGGCAGAAAAAGTTTGAAACTCGCCAGGAAATTTGGTGCCAGGCCTGTCTGTACCTCAGTGGTCTGCCTGGGGCCCCATTGCCTCCTTGTGGTTTGGAGCAAAGAACAAGAAGCTCTATCTTTGAACCCAATGTCTCTTGCTTGTGGTGGGAACAATGGCCAGTTCCATCCTCATGGGCCTGGCTTGGTCAAATGGGACTGACACAGCCCTTCCTGTCCCCATGTGCAGCCTGCCTAGAACTGGTTTCCCCTCTGTGTCAGCTCTCACCCTGCCCCCAGGGACTACCTTCAGAGGTACTGGGGCTTCTTAACTCCCCCTTCCCTTTTGCTGTAGAACTTTGGGTAACTGGCCTATCCCTGTAACTGACCCTCAAGTACCAGTTACCCTGCTTCCCAGAATTGAGCACCTCCAGTTTCCCTTTCCCTTCTTTGTCAGCTCTTTCCTCCAGGGTCTTGGCAAGTTGGCTTTGTGCTTCCTGTGGCCATGTTTTAAACAGTATGTGTTGGGTTCAGTAAGTGCCCCCACTGAGCCTGGGGCTTTCCATGGGCTGAAGGGCACCTTCCTTACCATTGTCCCTTTCAACTGAAAGCCTCACCCTTTCAATAAACATTGAGCCTCTGTTCAGTGCTAGGTAAACGTGGTGGGGTCCTTGCTCTCACAGAGCTGTGGTTTTAATACATAAACAGATATTTACAGGCAAGCCTGGTGAGAGCTGTGTGGGGCCACCACAGCGGGCTGTGGGGGTTCATGGGAAGGACAGCTAACCTGGGATGGGGGCAGGGTGGTGAGGGAAAGCTTGTGGCATCTAAACTGAAACCTGAAGAATAAGAAGGGTTTGGGCAAGAAAGAATGCATTCCAGGCAAAAGGAATTGTTTGTAGAGGATGAGAAGCCAAAAACCAAACTCATTGCCATCGAGTTGATTCTGACTCACAGCGACCCCCTTTGGGTTTCTGAGGTGGTAAATCTTTACCAAAGTACATTGCCCCTTCTTCCTTCTGCAGAGTGGCTGGTGGATTTGAACCGCCAGTCTTCTGGGTAGCAGTCAAATGCCTTAGGCAGTGTACCACCAGAGCTCCTTAGATGATAGGGGAGAAAATATAGCTCCTGTGGACCTGTATGTCAGGGTGGACTGAGGGTGGTAGGTAGGCAGGGGTCTCAGAAACCAAACCAAACTCATTATCGTCGAGTCGAATCCGAGTTTCCCTCCTTGAGTTTCCGAGGTGGTATCTCTATGGAAGTAGATTGAGCAGTCTTCCTTCTGAGGAGTGGCTGGTGGGTTTGACCCACCAGCCTTCTGGTTAGCAATCAGATGCTTTAGGCACTAGGCCACCAGATGCTAAGGAGTTGGACTTAGCCATGAGGGCAGTGGGAAGTTAAAGAGTTTTAATCAGAGGGGAGAGTCACTCTGGCTGCTGTGATGAATAGATGGGGTGGGGGTAGGCACAAGCTTGAGGCAGGGAGACGTGTGAGGGAGCTCAGATGATGATCTACTCAGGTCAGTTCTCCATCATTCCTAGCAGTGTGGCAGTGGGGATGAAAAGGCTTTAGGAATTGGAATTGATATCTCATCTTCAGGAATGGTGAATGTATTATTAACTCCATTTTACAGATGAGAAATACCAAGGTTCAGAGAGGTGAGTTCATTTGTCCATAATCTCGTGGTGATGGTTATGTGCCGTCACGTCTGCCCCGACTCATAGTGACCCCTTCTTGGGTTTCCAAGGTAGTGTCACTAGGGAAGTAGAACCTACCTTTTGAGGAATGGCTGGTGGGTTTGAACCGCCAGCCTTCTGGTTAGCAGTCAAGTGCCTTAGCCACCATGCTACCAGAGCTCCTATTTCATGGCGGTTGTTATGTGCCATCGAGTCGGCCCCAACTCATAGTGACCCCTCCTTGGGTTTCCAAGGCAGTATCACTACGGCAGTAGGATTGCCCAACCTTCCTTCCGAGGAGTGGCTGGTGGGTTTGAACTGCCAGCCTTCTGGTTAGCAGTCAAGTGCCCTAGGCACTATTTCATGGTTGGGCAGTAGATAAGTTGGCCTGGAAACTTGGATCTGTCATAGTCCAAACTCAGGGCTCTTCCTACCGCAGTCCATGGGCCTCTGGAGTGTGGAGGAGTGAGGGGCCATATCACACTGAGAAGCTTAGAGTCTATCCTGAGGACAAAGATGGCCTTTGGAGGGCTTTAGGCAGGGCAGTGAGGGACCAGATTTGTGTGTGAGATTAATTTGACAGCTGTGTGGAGGCTGGATTTGTGGGAAGTGAGACGAGTTGGGAGACCAGCTAGGAGACGGGTGTCTCCAGATGGGACATGATGGGGGGCCCTCAACTAGAGCCGCAGCAGGAGAATCTGGGGGTGGGGGTGGGGATGTGTGATGTTAAAGAAGAACTGGATCTGGGGTGAGGGAGAGGGAGGAGCAGCCAGGATGTGCATGGGTGGATGGTGGTAAAGCAAGAATAAGAGATTTGGTTGGGATTTGGAATACGAGACCAGTTTGGATATGATGAGCATGAGGTGCCATGGGACAGCCAGATAGAGATGTCTTGTAGATATTTCTGGGCTAGAGATAATGATCAGAAAGTCTTAAGTAGAAAACCGGTCATGTGTCATGTGAGATGATAATTCAACTTCTAAGGGAGAGAGAGAGGAAAGAGCCACTAAGGAATTAGACTTCATTGGAAGTGCTGATAGGCTGGAGATGGGAAATGGTGGGGGGCAGGATCTGCGGCTTCTGGGAATGGGAGAGAGGAGTCACCAAAGGTGAAGGAGTGGAAGGAATTGGACAAAGAGGGCATGGTCCATGGTGTTAGGTGCTGTAGAGACACCTAGTTAACGTAAGGTCTGACTGTACACTTGCTGCCTTGTACCATGGTGACCTTGGGGAGATGTTACAGTGGAACCAAAGCCAGATAGTAGGTTTTGAGGACTAAACAGGTGGAGGGCAGTAGAGGTAGGGAGGGCATAGACATCTTGGGAGAACCTTGATGGTGAGAGAGAGAATGGTACTTGGGGAGGAGGTGGGATTGAGAGTGAGCTTTTTCAGTTCAGCAGAGGTGAAGTTGGAATTGATCACGAGAACTTTTCTAGGAAGCAAAGGGAAAATTAAAAAAAAGAAGAGCCCTAAAATAGAATATGCAAATATGCAGAGATGGGTGAGTTTTCTGAACAGATCCCTTCTCCTGATATAACTCAGATTTGGCTGGGCTAGCATGGGCTGGGCTGGCACAGCTTGCTGGGCACATGGGCCCTGGTTCTGCTCCTCTCCTCAGCCCATCTGGCCTGGGCCCCAGACCAAGCTCTCAAAGTCCTACCCTGAGGTGGCTTCTTGTTCCTCTGCCACAGGCCTTGGCAGTGAATGGTGAGGGTGTGTGTATATGTGTGTGACCCAGGCCTCCCTCTATTGCTTGAACCCAGCAGGTTGGGATACCCTCTGCCCCTGGGCTGGGCTCTGATCAACTCCACTGTGC